TTTCCCCACCCTGCCATTCCCACTCTACAACTGTGGAGGGCTTCATTCTTTGAAGCGCGGCAAAATACCTACACATTACAATACAGTTTCATAATAAATAGATAAACATAGCGACAGACATTAAATATTATTTGTAATTAAATTTTTGCTTACTGAGGGAGTTCTGCGAAGTTCGATTCCCAAGTGCCAGACACACTCTCGATGGCTTTTCTCCTTCCGTGCCATGCCTTCTTGTAGCTGACATCCACTTTCCAACACTATTTCACATCAGTCTGGATCATGTCGACACCGTACTCCAATTTCTTTCGAATCTTATTACGAATGAGATTTGAAATCATTTGGGCGGTTACATTTCTGTAGTCATTTCTCTCGACCGGTTGCATACAAGTGTGACTATCAGTCCATTCCGTTAGTTCCCACAATTCATCAACCCGTTTGGACTTAGTCACCCGAGCCTTCCACAGATAAGGCGGATCTTCACTAGATCTGCAGACCACTTTGTATGACTTTTGATTCGAATCATTTATCCGAATCTCCCGCAACCTATCGACGTTCCAAGCCATCAGAGCCATTCGGGCTTCTTTCTTTGCTCTGAAAAACTATACCCAAATGTATGGTCTCAATGTCGTCATTCCAGCGTGGAATAGCATACTCGTCAGAATCTATCCTGGACGGGTCCCATTCACCTATCTCGCGGTATACGTGCTGACCACCACTAGGAAAGGGAAATTCTTCTTCAATGAACTCGGCTTCACTCTCCTCATTCACCGATCTATCTGATTCGGTTTCTGAGGTCTCGTCTGTGAAATCATCTTCACCGAGTACGAACTCTTCCTCACTTTCTTCCCCGTCCTCATTTGCCCTTTCTCTAATTGGTGAGCTTGTCCCTTCTCCAAAATTACGTAGATGAGAAGTCGACGTGCCCTCATCCATTCCCCCATAATAAGGAGTAAAATCCTCAAACTGTGGAACCGGTGTAATTGCCTCCAACAATAAATGCAAATACACAACGGACATAGGAGAAGAGAAATAAATCCATGCATAGCACTATCGTTATCGAGTATCCCGGCATTCCACGAACCATCGCGTTGACGAAACATTAAAGTAATCTGTTCAATTGTCCAACCTTCTCCAAACCGACAATTTTCATTAATCATCTGTACCAATTCTCCATATGATATCCTCCCCGTAATAACAAATGAACCATCCGGATGATCTATAAATGAAAGAAATTGTTCTTTCGCACATCGCCAATACAACAAAATATGGACCGGAATACTCCATTTAGTCATGTTGAAAAAAAAAATCAATTCTTCCCAATTGCAATAACACATAATACAAATATTTTTTGAACCCATTTTTTTACTTCCAATCGATTAATCCTCCAAAACCCTAATACAAATAATCCAACAATAAATTAAAACCCCTAATTTCAAAAAACCCTAAGCCCAACAACAACAAATCAATTTGCAATTGACAATTTCTAACAAAATTCAAATCTCCAATTCAACATACACACAAAATCGATAAACAATTAACAATTATCAAGCTTCAAACACCACCACATTCAAACATATTATAACAATCCCTAATCTCCAAACAAATCCAAACAATGTAAAAGTTAAGATAAGCCAATATACCTCGTGCGAATGAATTAACCAAAAATGAGGTTTGTGTTGTTGTTATCGATTTACGTTGGGGTAGCAATTGGAACGAGTTTTTTTTTTCGATAAACCTCGCTCTCTCTCGCTGTTGTGCTGTGTTGAATGGTCGCGCAGAAATGGAGAAGAGAGTGGAACAAATTTTATTCCATTGTAAAACGTATTACAAAAATACGTTTTACACTTATTTAATTGTAAAACGTATTCTTGTAATACGTTTTACTTTATTTAAAAAACGTATTATTTTTTTTTTTTGAAATCGTATTTCTATAATCCGTTTATTAAAACCCTAAAAATTAATTTTTTTTTATTGAAAACGTATATTTCAAATACGTTTTACAATTATCAATTTTTATTTAATTCAACTCTTTTAAAAAAAATTTTAACAACTTACAAAATTCTGTGAATACGTTTTTCTAATAAACTTTAATTAGAAAAACGTATTCATATAATACGTCCTTTTGATTTTTTTTCACATTTTTTTTTGTCCACTTCATTTTTATTTTTTTTAAATAAATAAACTACTCTCATATTTGTTGGATTCTTTTAATTACCATTAATTATAAACGTATTAAATATTTAAATAAAAACAAAAAATCAATATCATTCCATTTCGT